TTGGGAGGGGGAGAGGGAGGGGGGGGGGGAGAGGGAGAGAGAGAGAGAGAGAGAGAGAGAGAAGAGAGAGAAGAGAGAGAAGAGAGAGAGAGAGAGAGAAATAAAGTGTCAGCCGACTCAGTTAAAACAATGAGTGGCTTATATATTATTATCTCCATATTTGTTATAGAAAAGAGAGACATAGTTATTGTACTGATCCTCTGAGAGCTCCCTCTAGTGGCTAATTTACAAATCTCTATATATATTACAGTAACGAAAATATGCAAGAGCATGCCATATGCAGCAGCCATATAATAATGACTTATAATTCAACCCTGCAGTAATTATACAAAATATTAACTTTCTGAGAATACCTGATACTTTCCCATAACGTGTCATTGCAGCCTTAAGAGACTGTCGCTGTGTGTAATGCAGCTTGACACTTTTACCATAAGTCCCATGTTTCCTGTCACAAGTGAAAGCCCGTGCCTTGCCGGGGACCCTAGAAAGTACAACAGCAATCTGACATCAACCCATAAAGCTGTTGGTTGGAATATTGCCCATGTAACATCTGCCTGAGAAAACTCCAGTAACATCTGCTGATGTCTCCATTTCCGTGTGTGTGGTCCTTAGGCAAAGGGGGCTATAAGAGGCTTTGTGGTAGGGGGGTTGCAAGCACCCATGTACCCAATATATGTAACCTGGTCCTAACAAAATGGATTCTGGGTTTCCATAAAAGATGCATTTATTTTATTCATCACTGTATCTGTTTCTCAGAGAATCTTTTTTTTCTTGTTTTTGTCGTACGATAAACTGTCGCTGTCAGCAGGTGACAGATCTGAACAAATATGGTGGCGGTTCACAGCCTGGGGGCAGGACGGGGGAGGGAAAGATAGATAGTAATGTGTCAGTTTTAGGAAGTTAAAGGGATTTCACAGAAAAGGCTCTTACTATAAAGTGAAACTTAACACTGAAGTCAATGACGTCATCCAAAGATACAAACACAGATAATCGACAGACAGTTAGAGGCTCGCATAGTCTTCGGGTGAAGATAGCGGAATTACAAAACAGACCCTCAGCATCCGATGTAGAGATAGAGCTGATTTGCAGAAATGAACAATTTCCTATATACCCCCACCCCAGTAGACTTGATATAGAAGTAGGTTTAATTCACATTCATGAAATGAGATGACCCGACCAGTCTAGAGCAGTGGTTCTTAACCTGTGTAACCTCAGGACCCCCTTGGTCATTAAGTTGCGACCCAAGTCGCACTGCAATGGAACACATGGCATTGCAGTACCGCACGTTCAGGTGCGGGCAATTGAACTGTGGGCAGGAGGTGCATTTGGTGTGCCATTCAAATGAGTGATAATGCAAAGCACCTCCCACACCAGAGTGCGTGGTAGGTGTGATTGCATGGTACAGTGCGTTAATGGCACAGGACTGTTCAATCAACTGGTAGTAGTGCTAACGGGCCCTCAAAAACACTGACCGACACAATCTCACACACACATACACACTCCCCAAAAAATTATTTTTTAAATTTTTTTTTAAGATCCTCCCAGTCTCCCACTTTACGAGAACTGGGGTGGATCCTCATCCTGGGGTCCAGTGTGGGCTGCTGTGCTGTGACGGAGCTGGATCCATATGTACATTGCTTGTACAACCCGCTTGCGTGCCCTGTAGAGGTGCCAGGAGTCTGAATGTGACGTCACTCTGATCCAGGCACCTCTACAGGACATGCAAGGAAGCCATAAGCAATGCATGTATGGATGGAGCTCCCTCGCGGCCATAATTTCAGCCCACTCCACCTAAAGCTGACATTCTGCGCCGAGTAGCATATTTTGAATGGCTGAGAGTTCTGCACTAAGGGAGGCTAAGAAGCCTCTGACCTAGAAAAGTGGAAGGCACGTGGCGACCCACTGAACACGGGGTCGCGACCCACTTTTGGGTTACGACCCACCGGTTGAAAACCAAGGGTCTAGACCAATAATGGCCAACTTACTGGATATAAGGGGCCCCAAGTGTGGCCTCTGACATCATAAAAGGGCTGCCCATAATATCTAGTACAGTATACTGTATGTAATTATACTAGAGACAGACTATTACTGTGCTACAGGAGATATGATACAGCCTTGGTTGGAGACTTGAAGTTGTAGTAGACAATCAGAGACTAGGGATGAACGTTGGGTATGGGTTGATCATGTGTGCAACCAGAACCGAAGCTGTTTGGAGTTCCGTGAATGATTTAGGCAGTTCCACTGGCCACCAAACCTCCGTCTATGTCATAGGAACCAATGACGTGGTGCGCCCCACACAGCATCATTGGTTGGTGGTTGAGTCGCACAAAGCCATTGGTTGCTAGGAAGCTGGCAACTCCACAGCATGATTGTTTGTGTGTGGGGGGTCTAAACTGGACTTTAGCTGCTCATAGACTTCACAGCAGTGGTTTTCAACTTGCAAGGTGTGGGGTGCCTCCCCTGTGGCCCCTGACAGCTTCAAAGCGGCCACCTATAATATTCAGTTTATGACAGAAGACTATCAGACACTTCAGACATAGTAGAGGAGATGACCAGAGACTTTCAGACATGCAACAGAGGTGATTGAAGACTGGAGACATGCTACATGAGATTGATAATCACTGTCATTATAGTCTTGAGTCTTTTGAAATAAATGTTTCCACTACTGACTGCTGGGGTCTGCAAAGGATCACACAGCAGATACCAAACAGCACTGCGTTGTGCACCAGGACCTTACTGAATAGTCAGTCTTGCAGGAAAGATCCCTTTGACCCCAAGCTATCTTTCACCAAAGGCTGAGGAGCAGCTATGGGTTTGTGCACCATGCACGCTGCCCTCTTCCTTCTAATGTGGAATCAGCAGGGGAACATTGCAGGCACAGGTAAAATACACTAGAAATACTCAGGCAGGGAAGTATTGTATGGGGCAGGAAGTTTGTGGTGGTGGGGGGAAGAGTAGGGGAACTTTGTGGTTTTAGAACGGCTAGATTAGGTGGTTTCTATGTGCTTTACTGTTTGTTATCTTCCAGTAACAAAGTGATTGTGTGGTTACCAGAGCCCATCTGTCCAGACTCTGCATGGTCATCCCAGGTAAAATACAGTATGTGAAAAACTTATCAGAAATACTAAAGTTTGCTATTGTTGTAATCTAAACTGTGCCCTTTCCTTTAGTCTTGCACAGTTGTACTGGCTCCTCTCCTGGACTGAAATTGCTACTCTGATTTCACTGAACACTGCAAGCTTTTCGCAGTGTGCATTCAAAACTGCAGCAAGTCAGATAGAGCCCGCCTCATTTTCTGGCTGGAGGATGTCCAGTATCATCTAACTCCTTTTTCCCCCAGCCTGACTGTCCCTGCCCATCTCATTCATTCGATTCCAGATCCTTCAATAATGGAGGCTCAGCACCACATGTGAATGTTATCCACTATGGTCTGCATGCAAATGTAGCCTGCCTAGGGATGCTCATTCCTCCAGATTGACATTCACACATCAAGGCAGGGTTATCCCTATAATAAGGTAGCTTGGGGCGGATGTTTTAGGTGGCATCTCATTGGGTCACATGAAATAAAATCTTTAAAGTGAACCAAACCATGTCTGAAAGGTTTCTAATGGCACTGCAGTGGAGAATCCAAAGCCCAGGCTGTCCATAGCTTCTTGATTTCTGCCCAAGTCACCCCCTGCTGGAACTAAGCCCCATTCCCATCATTCATTCCAGGAATTTTCTGAGAATTAGTAGAATCTAAAATGTAAACATCAGGGGGCAGAACCAGGAAGGAAAGGCTCAATCTCTTCTTGTTGCGACCCCATGAACAACTTTGGCTAAAAAAAGTATGCATTTGGGTCAAACCAGGGCTGCTTTTGGGTCCCACTAGGGCTGCATTTGGGTCTCACCAGCGCTGCGTTTGGGTGTCACCGGGGTTGTATGCAGATCTCACCAGGGCTGTATGTGGGTTCAGGGCTCTCAAGGGCTCTGCGGATGGGTACCGGGCTCTCCGGGGCTGAATGGATGGGTGCCGCGCTTGTGCCGGGCTCCAGGGCTGTTCGTTCAGTGTGGGGCTGTCCGTTGCAGTGTCGGTCTCGGGAAGGAGCAAGAGGTGATGTGTGGCTGGACCGGCACTGTCAAAGACAGCTGCCCGAGGACCCCAGCAGGCTGCCTAAGGTCCCCAGCAAGCGAGGACCTCAGGTAGCCACTCATGTTTAAAAACTTAAAGGGCCGGTGTCCCTACTTTCCAGGATACTATGTTTCACTTGCGGGCGTTAGGGAGCTGCTATCTAATAGTGGAAGACTCCCGGAATGTCAGGGAGAGTTGAGATCTCTGTCAATGCAGTACAGTGTGCATCAATGTAAGTCAACCCATGTATTTCTGGTGTGAACCCAACATAATAAAAAAAGCTTTCAGTATCAACTCCTGCTGAGCTGAGCTGGACTGGACTGTTCTACTATCACACGTGTGTGTGTCACATTCACACCAAGACTATCAGCATATTTAACCCTGAGCAATTTGTTGCATGTTTCCAGAAGCTTGACAACGCTCAACAATTACATTTTACATTTTATTCTATGGGGCCTATATACACCTGAAAAATGTGCTTGTTGCACAATGTGCTTTATTCTATGGGGCCTATATAGACCTGAACAATGTGCTTGTTGCACAATGTGCTTTATTCTATGGGGCCTATATAGACCTGAAAAATGTGCTTGTTGCACAATGTGCTTTATTCTATGAGGCCTATATACACCTGAACAATGTAGCAGGAGCTTTTTTGGTGCAGGATCATTTGTTTTTGTCCCATAGACTTTAATGCTGAACAACTCTCTCCTCCTCCTGTTAACTTGCAATCCATTGATCTAAACAAAAATTCTTAAGCTTGGAAATATGTACAAAATGTGTGTACAAATGACAACCTAAATCATTTGCTTGTGTTTGTTTAAGTTTCACTCCAATTTCCTTCTACAACTCAAAAAAATGCTTCTAAGCTTTTTTTTGGCTTCCACCAATATTGTCCTTAGCCTGTTTCTTGAAGACTGGGGTAGGATATTATTATTACTATTAATATTATTATTATCATCTGTGCCCTTGAAAATATCTATCCCTTAGGCTGCCCATATACTTGTAAACATGTGTTCAAACACTCATATGAAAAATCTCATTGGGACAGTGGATAATGCCATCAGAGACTTGACTAAGGTCATTCAAAATTTCCTTTGATTTTAACATTTGATCTTGGAACGAATGGAGTTTCTTGATCGCAAAACCAATTTCACTGTTCAAATTTGGATTGTTTGGGAAAAAATTTTCCATCTCGCTCCTTCGATCATCGATTTGACCGCAATACCTATTAGAAACTCAAATGAATAATCCAAAAACATTTTTTTTTCTTACAAAATTCTCCTGGGTGTAAGTTTAGATATAGTGCAGATGACAAGTGTTATAAGATGTAGAGTAGAGATGACTAGAGCAGAGAAATGCAATACAAGCTGAGGTAGCAGAAGTCACATGCACTGGAAGAGAAGAGGTTTCTGGCACTTACGTGTCCCCATCGTCATCCGCACGGGTAGCTGCCATGATGTCTGCATGAAGATCTAATTCTGGACTGAGCTGCACTGCTGGCACTAGTCTCAGGGGTCGTGGGGTCATAATGGCTGGAGTGGAGTACACCGTGGAGGATACAAATGGAGCCGGACTACCTGATAGCAGACAAAAAACAAATTGGGCTCATATTTTTTGCATCGTCATATTTATCCATTGAACATATTTAGTACTATCTGGTTGGATGTATTACAGCTCACACATGTCCGAAACACTTCCTTTTTTACATTTGATTTCTGGAACTCTTTAAATAAATAGGCTGCTTAGCTAACAAAATACTCATAGGGGACTATTTATAAGCAATTTGCACATCCATACGCCCTGCCAATCTCTGACTAAGTTAATTCTGTGCTAGAGCAAGAAATGAACCTCCTTTGTATATTTTCTTTTCAGGTCGAATGTAATGTAATATTGCAGTATGGCCACTAGATGAAGCTGAGAAGCATAGGAAATAAATACTACTTTCCTATGCTCCTTAGCTACTTCTAGTGGCCATAATGCGGTATTTCATTACATTACATTCCGCTTGAAAAGGAAAATATACAAAGCACATTTGGTTTTGCCTCTAATTGCACAGAGCACACATTCTTAATGATTTCCGGGGTGAATGGCTCTGTGAATTGTTTATAAATAGACTCCATAGTGTTCTTAAAGGGTACCATAAAGCGTTATTTCAGTTCCCTGACAAATGTGGGAAACTGAAATTACCCCCACAAATTGGTCCCCTCTGCCCACTCCTAGTAGTCAAACCTTTGGGTTAGCCGCCATTCCCCCCTGCTGCAGTCGCGGTAAGTCCCATACACTGTACACAGCATTGCATCCTGGTACTCTGTACATGGACTAATGCAAATGGCGAGCTGTCGTGGGTCAGCACGGTCACCTTACCACGCTGACCAATGAGAAGTGCTTCTTAGCAAGAAGCACTTCTCATTGCCCAGTATGGGCAGGTGACTGCGCTGACCAATGAATGTTCATCATTTGTGAGCATTATTCTGATTGTAGGCTCTCACGGGCAGAGTCTTCCTAACCATCTTGTCTTGGAACTGGAATGTCCTCCTTTTCTTGCAAAGTGCTGAGCAAACTGTTGGCGCTATATAAATCCTGTATAATAATCATATAATTCCCCACATTGGAAACTGGAATTACCATTTAAATGATAAAGAATCATATAACCAGAGGTTACACTCTCTGCTAGAAGAACATATGGTTGCTTACTTGAATCTACCAGCCTTGGATTACATAAAACTTAAACAACAGTTGACTTCAGATTCAATATTTCCCAGGAAGCATTAGCAGTTCACCAATTATTTTCACTTGTTGCCTAGAACTGCCCTTTAAAGTGATCCTGTAATGGAAACAATATGGAGGATGCCATTGCTGCACCTTTAAAGACAAGGGTAGACATAAAGTGGCACAGGGGGGTTTTCAGCGTTGCAGTATTATTCATGCAGTGTATTTACATACATAGCTTTACTCTGAACAATTCACAGCAGAAAATATTACGTAGCATCTACGTAAAAAAACCATATGCACATACAGATATTATTTACTGTAGGCGAACCTTCCGAATGAAACTGTGCTAATACAAACAAATGATTCAGCTAAATGTGTTATACTAAGAATTGGTTAAACTAAATTTACACTCTACCGTCGCCTTACATAGTCATTTTAAAAGTACAGTCATCCTTCTAAAATAAATATACAGATTCTCCCGAAAAAAAAACCAAAGTCTTTCCACTGACACAGATCAAAGCTTGTCAGTACATCACAAGGCTCCGGTCATTAACCTAGAGTTAAAAAGCCTGAGACAGTACCTTTCAAGAGCTTGCCATACCCAGATCAGATATTGGTCATGTTCTGCTGACAGAATTTGATCCATGGGTGGCCCTGGAGACCCCACCCGGCTCAACAAAAACCCAATTTTGCATTCGATTTTTGTTAGACTGCAGCCAATCTGCTTCAGTTGCTGTTTGGGTATTTTGCCAGCTGGGGGGTGCCAAACACACAACAGCCCCCGGGGGACATTTCTCCATCCACGTTCTTTAGCATGGATGGGGAGTCTGGTGATTTTTCTCATTTACATTTAGCCCCCCGTTGTATGTCCAGCTTAATAGGAGATTAGGAATATGTCAGTACATTGGCTTTTGACAGTGGGAAGGAAGCACAATGTTAGTGTACAGTGCCGAGCTACCAGCACAAAGATCAGTGCCCTACCTGTAGACCCCCTAAACTTAACCCTCCACATAGCCTATTTCCAGCTAAAAAATAATACTACCCTTTCAGTGGGACTACCCCCACATTGTAAGGGGTAAGTGCTCTTTACTGTCTAGGGTGGATGTGTAAAAGTCTTTTACTCACCTGATCCCCACTCCCACTGGCTCCAAGACTGGCACCTGTGGCCTTTTTCCCCTTTGCTCTGGTGCTGACATCATCATGAACAATGCAGGGCTTATAGCCATGCATTATACAGGAGGACGCCAGGGAACAGTCCACAAGCCAGAGCTTAGGCGAGAGAGGTGAGTGCTGGCTGGATTAGGTAAGTCAAACTCCTTTGCACACTCCTCCTAGACATTACTGAACAGTTATCCCTTGCAATGCAGGGTTAGCCCATTGCAAGGGCTGTTTTCCTTTAACCTGAAGAAAGGCAGTAACTAACAGTTATAATGTCACTTAACCATGCCTGCAGACTCACCTCACTCCAGGATCACCTGCACTCAAGATTACCTATCTTATTTCCATAAACTCCTACTTTGGGGAATCATAGACCTCTTAAGCTGGCCATACACCTATAGATTATCTGCAGATTTTCTGTGGTCAGATGGAAAAAGTGCAACATATTCCTCCATCTACGCTAAACTGTGTGGATGGAGGAATCTCCCACTGGGCCAAGCTTCAGTATCTTGCTAGTCAGCCCCGCTGGCTGTCAAAATACCTGAACAATCTGATTGGATGCAGGCAAACTTCAGGTATTTTGAGAGCCAGTGGGGCCAACTAGCAAGATAGTGAAGCTTGGCCGAGTGGGAGATTCCTCCATCCACACCGTTCAGCGTAGATGGAGGAATCTGTTGCACCTTTTCCATCTGACCATAGAAAATCTGCAGATAACCTGTATGGCCAGCTTTAGACTGTGTTATGTGGTCAGTAGTACAATATAGTTGAGTTGATGGCACAAGGTATAAGTGAACGTTCCCACATATAGCAACACTGTAGTGGACACCGTACCTGCCCTCTGGTATAGGAAACAATACATTGTAACCATCTGTCTTTGCTTTAGCAAACAACGGTCCCAAAAAGAAACAGCAAATCACTGAAATCACTGAATTACCAGAAAGCATCCTGGGTCCAGTAAAAACAATCCTTTATTCAGTACATATTAAAGTGGGTCTATAGCGAAAACCTTTTTGTAGCCTTAGATATAGTAGGGAAGGGTTTGGACCACTATCAGATAATGATTGTTCTCCATGTCTCCACTGGAGAGAATCACACTATTAGTTGTGGTGACCATTGTCATTGGGGCAGGAAGTGATACCAAATTTAAAATTTGATAGTTATTGCACTACAGAAGGTGTAGTGAAGTCTTCTAATGGAGACACCAGTTCCGATGACAGCTAAGAGCATTTTCCCTTTACTTTGAAGATAATTCCTCTCTCTACCTGCTGTGTCTTCAGTAGATACAACTTTTGTTTATAGATACACTTCAAATTCATGACAAAAGTAATTCTCGCAAATGCACATGCAGTCAAGAGTTGAAAATAACTACAGTAGTTCTGGGCAATGGAGCATGAAGACCACCTTGTTATCTTAATCTATACTTTGTGCACTTCAAGGTCAAAGACCAGCATGGCCATCTGGTTTCGCACAAGAGTTGAATTGTTTTTGTAGCTTGCAGTACTGGATAGTTTGGGTGTATAGCTATTTTCTGACAACTGACATAATTAGAACTTTTCACAGTCTGGCCCTGTTGGACTCAAATTATTCATATCTAATTGTTAATTGATCCTCCTCTTCAATTTCTGATAGCAGGCCCTGGTTTTCCCCCAGTTTTCTGGACAGATGCCTGCTACAAATAGAAGTCTTTCCGGACTACAAATGCATCTTTAATTGCATCTTCTACCAAGATAATGGAAAGTCCCAGCTGTTTTTTTAAATATTTATCATAATGAGATATGATGCCTTGGCGGAGGCAAGCTTGTAAGGTAGACGTCCTTTTCTTTGGCTACAATGCAAAGGCATTCCTGCCGCAGGTAGGACTTGCCGCAAGTAAGTCAGGTAAGCACCTTGATTTACATGGCGGCATGTCAAAGACAGTATGAGGCACTCTGCCCTCTAGGTAAAGAATAGGCTTAGACATAAACTAATAGACTTAAAGGAGAACTATGACATGAGTGATTTCCACTCACCTCATAGTTCTAAGCCGACCTGTGACAATGAGACTGTCACAGGTCGGCTCAGTAGATCGGGAGGTGAGGGAAAACATACCGGGTTCCCTCACCTCTCGATCCTGTCACGGCTCTCTGCCGTGACAGGGGGAGGGGCTGGATTCCCCTCTCCCCGCTCCGATCTGCCAGCGCTGACTGGCGGAACGGACGGGGGAGGGGGCGGGTACAGCTGGCTCTGCCTCTAGATAGGCAGAGCCAGCTGCCACTCACGCAGCTGGGCGGATCCCGTCATGTAAGTCGGGATCCGCTCCAGGTGCGGCGTCTCAGTATACCGCGAGCTGTAGCTCGCGGTATACTGAGCTTAGGGTAACGGGAGGACACTAGTTTGTGTCCTCCCGTTACCCCAAGGAGAACTATGGGGAAAAACACTGACCCCATAGTTCTCCTTTAAGCCTAGGACAGCAGTACCATTATTGGTGTCACCTTTCAGCTTGCTTTTATGTTTGTGGCACACTAGTTTCTCCTTTGTATAGTTGACCTGATATTTGTAATGAACATGACCATTTTAGGGCCCATTCACTCCATGCACCTTAGGCTGCCTTGCTCAAGGTAGGCACAAGTTAGACTTTACAAAATGTCAAGCTAAAATCTATTGTTTCCAATGGACCCAATGCACGGCAATCATTAAAGAAAGAAAAATAATGCATTTTCCTGCTGCA